CCCCCACATGCACCCAGCTGTCCCCCCAACTCCCCCCCATCTTCCCCCTATCCTCACACACCCCAAGAACACGCCTACACACCCAGGGTCACCAAAGACCCTGTCTGGGGTGTCCCAGCACCCACCACTCCCGTCACCCGTGGGTGCCCCGCAGAGCCCCAGCTACAGCACCCAATGGCCAAACCACCAGCGTGCCACAGCCCGAGGGGGTCACCACTGGTTGCTAAACAACCGTCTGAGCCCTTGGGCATTGTCACCCACCCAAATTCAGAGACCCCCAACAGCCTGGGCACCAGGGAGAGCCAGCCCATGGTGAATCCCTGCTGTGGGACCTGCCCTATGGGACAGGGTCACTTTTGGTCCTTGCTCCTTCCTCAGTGTCACCCTTCTCCTCCTTTGCCTCCTCCTCCTCACACCCAACAGCCGGAGGATCTGGCAGGCCACCACACATCCGAATGAGCTGAGATGGAGGCGTTGGGTGACGCTGAAGCAGCTGGTGCCTGTAGGAGCCTGGTGCCCACGTCACCCTGGGGGCCCCCAGGCAGCCAACACCCGGAACACGGAGACAGGAACTCGGGTACAGGCATCATAGGAACACCCTGCCGTTGTGAGAACACCCTGGGGATGACCTCACAGCAAGGGGACACAGCCTGCCTGGGGACAGTCGCACAACCCTGCCCAGGTGCACGACCATCCTATCATACCCCCCCGCACAACCGTGCATCCCCTCCAGCTGCACTCCCACTCCCGCACCCCTCTGAGCACAACCGCAGACCCACAGACAGCATCCTCCATGCACATCCACCCACCCACAGCTACACGCTTGCCTCAGCAGCCCCCCCACACAGCCGCACGCTTGCACCCACGCACAACCATACATCCGTCCCAGCATGACTGCACACCCACGTGCAGCCACACACCCACCCCAACCCAGCCCCGGGTACACCCGCACACCCCAAGCACATGAGCACCTACCCACTCACCCACCCACAGCCGCACACCCACACGACACCCACAGCGCGCTCCCCGCAGCTGTGGGTCCCACACACCTGCAAGCGCACACATCCCAGGGTGCACAGCTGGGCAGGGACAAAACACCCCTTGCCTCAGTTTCCCCACGGTGGCAGCAGGACCCCCGGCGGGACTCCTCTGCAGGCACATGGACCCCCAGTGCTGGACACCACCCCAGATGGGCACCAGCAGCACCCACACCCCAGCCTCACAACCACCCACCCCACGCCTGAGCCCTGCGCACACCCAGCCAGCTTCCCCAGCAGGCACCCACAATGCCCATGCAACACCCATACGCACGCACACACACACACTCCCTGCTCCCTGCTCACACCTGGTGTGTGCACACACGCACATGCACATGCTCACACACCCACCACTGCCACCCCCCAGGCCCACGTACACCCACACCCCATCGCCACAAGCACAATCGCTGGGCGCAAAGACACTCTTAGCACCTGCTTACACACACACACATGCTTGCACACCCACCAGCACCCACTTGTGCACACCCCAGGGACAAAACTGTACCCTCACCAATGCACACACACACCCCTGCACCATCTGGGGGTACAACACCCCCCCCCGCCAGCACATCCCCTTGCACACCTGCAACCAAACACACAACACCAACACACACACTCATACACACAACCCAGGGTGGAGAAATACACTCTCCAGCCAACATACAAACACACAAGCCCATCCCTGGGTGCAGATACACCCTCTTCACCAACACAGGCATGCACACACTTCATCCCTGATGGCAAATACACCCCGCTCATCAACAACCCCAGCACCACACACCATTCCTGGGTGCAGATACACGCTCCTCACCAACACCCACGCTCACACACAGCATCCCTGCGTACAGATACACCCTCATCACCAACACTCCGTCTGCCAACACCCTCTCCAGCCCTAGATGCAGATACACCCTTCTCGTCAACACACACACACATACACACACACACACTAGCAACCCCCATCTCTGCGTGCAAATACACCCTCATCACCAACAACCACCCTGCCAACACAGGCATCCCATCCCCGGGTGCAGATACATCCTCCTCACCGACACCCCCACTCGCACACCCCATCCAGAGGTGCAGACGCACCCTCCTCACCAACACAGACATTCACACTCCCCATTCCGCCTGTGTGCAAATACACCTTCCTCACCAACACCCTTCCCTCCCCACCCCTGGGCGCAGATACACCGTGCTCACCAACACCCCCCCAGCCCCGTTCCTGGGTGCAGATACACCCTCCTCACCAACACCCTCACTCACAGCATCCCTGGGTGCAGACACACCTTCCAAACCACCACCACCCCCCATCCCTCCGGGGTGCAGATACACCCTCCTCAACAACATCCCCCAGCCCCATCCCTGGGCGCAGATACACCCCTCTCACCAACACCCCCCCGATTCCTCCGGGGTGCAGATACACCACCCACACCAACACCCCCCGCCAAACCCCCGCAGCCCTGGGAGCTGACACATCCCCCCATCACTCCGCTACCTCCACCCCC